ATAGATGATAGATGATAGATAATAAATAAATAATAAATAATAAATAATAAATAATAAATAATAAATAATAAATAATAAATAATAAATAAATAATAAATAATAAATAATAAATAATAAATAATAAATAATAAATAATAAATAATAAATAAATAATAAATAATAAATAATAAATAATAAATAATAAATAATAAATAATAAATAATAAATAATAAATAAATAATAAATAATAAATAATAAATAATAAATAATAAATAAAAATAATAATTAATAAATAATAATAAATAAATAATAATAAATAAATAATAAATAAATAAATAAATAAATTAAAGAAACATATTTATGTTGCCCAGAAGACTACTTAAAGATCTACTGTAGAGTTGGCATCTATCATTTCCAACATGTCCAAAAGGCATCAGGCCAGGAAAAATATCCAGGAGTCATGCTGAATTCATTAAAACCAAAATATGCTATTAAAAATTCCTTACAAAAGGCAATTAAAGTAGATACGAGACTTCCATTTCTAGCCCTTTTTGAAATGGGACAATAAGCCAACAGAAAAGATTTAAGAGAATGTATAGTTTAGAATTGTGGCTATATTGGAATGAAATGCTATTAACAGCCATGACTTACAATTAGCCTAACTGACTTTACTCAACCAACTGCACCATGAACTACTTATACACCTTAAACTAAAATATGGTTGGTTATTAATGTATCATATGAACAGCTATTTTATTGCCTTGGAAATAAAATTACAGAAGACACCGGGACTATGGTTTTTATTAATTACTAAATATATAATATAATTAATTATATTGTTATGCAGTCTTTTATTACTTTATAAGTAACTCAAGACAGTGAACATACATAATTCCCCTTCCTCAGCATATTTTCACTACTACAACAACCATGTGAAATGGGGTCAGCTGAGAGAAAGTGGCTGGCCCAAAACACTAGCAGTCTAGGGCACAACTAGAAGTCTTAGGCTCCTGGTTTTTAGGCTACTACTTTAATCATTACACCAAACTGGCTCTTCTTCTTTTTCTGGTTCTGCTCTCCTCCTTTCACTCTCTTTGTAGATAACAATTCACTTAATATTAAAATAAGATGCAAGTTTTTAAATCTGTAGTCTAGATTGAAAAGTTAAAAAATGCAGTAGAAAATCTAAATACTATTGCTAAAAAGCAACATAGATCAGGAATTTTCAAAGTAGTTCAAGATATGGAACCTGCTAGTTTGGATCAAGAGTTCTGAGATATTTTTTTAAAAAACTCTAGTGACAGAAGATTAGTTCTGTTCAAGACCCTTTCTTGCTTTTTTTTGCCCTTAGTCTGTAATGAAATCTCTTGTGGAATTTAGTATTCTGTAGAACAGGGGTACCCAACCCCCAGGCTTTCGCCCAGAACTGGGCTGTGCAAATGGTGGGTGCTTATGCATGCACTGTTCCACTTGAGTGAGTGGTAGACACAAGGGCACTCGCGTGCGCGCACCTCCATTTGCATGGATGGTGGGCACTCATGCATGAAGCTCCATTTGTGCTAGCAGCAGGTGCTCACACAAATGGAGCTGTGTGTGCTCCCATGTGCATCTGCTGCTCGCATGGAAATTGGAAAAGTTGGGGACTGCTGCTGTGGAAGATAGTTTGAAAAATCCTGATGCAAGTCTGTCACTAATGATAAAATCATAGGGTTCAAACGGAGCTTAGAAGTCTTCTACTCCACCTTTCATCAGCTGGACCTTATCACCAGGAGTCAAGCCTGACTTAAGCAAAACATCATCTAGGACATAGGCAATTTCTATTGACAAGCACTGCCTTGTTCCAAGGACTCAGAAACAATACATTTGTCCATCACTTTACTGATTTTCCCTTATTCATCTAGGCAAAACTGTGAGAAAGTATCAGAAAAGGAAATGATACATACCATTTTCAATAACTATTTTTAAAAACCTGTATTGGCCATTCCTAGCTCTGGCAAAGGTTTCTTTGACTTCTTCACTAGCTGAAAGACAAAACAAAGAAAAAGAACAATGGATTTCATTCTGGTTTATATCTAACCATTTCGCAATAGCACTTAGACTTATATACCGTTTCACAGTGCTTTTACAGCCCTCTCTAAGTGGTTTACAGAGTCAGCCTCTTGCCCCCAACAATCTGGGTCCTCATTTTACCCACCTTGGAAGGACGGCTTGGGCCTGGTGAGATGTGAACTGCCAAATTGCAGGTAGCCGGCAGTCAGCAGAAGTAGCCTGCAGTACTGCACTCTGACCACTGCACCATCATGGCTCTCC